AAAAAAAAAACACGTTAAAAAAAATCTAAAATAAACAGTAACCTAGAATAACGTTGCAATGAGACATTATCTTGTAAATACTAATATAATTGAAGTTTTTTCTAAATCTTTTTGTAAAGCACTTCATAATTTATGCAATAATACACACACCAGGTCTTGAAACAATCTGGATATTACACAGAAGTCTTTGACATGTGTGAATTTCATTCAAAAGCAATTTGAAATTTCGAAGTAAAGAACCTGGCTTGACATTATAGGAAAAAGTATATGAACATGGCATAGCAGGTGTCCTTGTCATTACTCTAACTGAGAAAGTATGTCCCCACTGCATAAAGAATAGCCTGGCTAGCGGTGGTGGAGGAAAAATCCATTCTCAGGCAGTATAGTCTCTGGGATCCAGTCATGAGTTTTGTAGGTAATTCACACCCTTAGAGAGTGGTCCCTGATTCTTTTGAAACATGATGTCATGAAGAGAGATGAGTGTGTTGATCATATTTTCATCTAGAAATGGACAGATTAAAGAGGACTGAGACCAAGGAAGGCACAAAAAGCAAAATACATTTCTGTTGATATTTAAAGACCATCAAATGAGTGTCGACACTGTAAACAGAAACGTGTTGTGATCTGGTGAAAGCAGACTTTTCTCTGGTATGTTAAGATGACTGGGCCATATGGGCAAGAATGGGGTTTGGAAGTACATGCTCCAGTCTCCTCAAGGCACACACAGGCCTTGGGGTCATTTACACAGGTCTTCAGCTGGGAATTTGAATCTCCGAGCTCAGCATTTTCTTTTGCCTCATTGCACAGCAACATTAAGAGCAACCAGCCAATGTTATCCTGTTTGTTAGTTTTCCAAAAATCTTTGCAAGTATCAAATACATGCTCACTCAGATCTTTACTGTTTCAAGTGGCAGATTACGAGTCTCCAGGGCAGATTTTCTGTAATGGGTTATCAGGGCACTCTTTGGCAATTTTAAATCTATTCAGATGAGAAAGCCAATTCCAGACACCAATGAACCAATTCAGAAAATTCTTCCTGAAATCTTGTTGCCCTAGACGCACTCTCAGTAACAGTAGAATAATTACTTGTTTGATATCCTCACATGGAATCCTATAACGGCAATGCCAGGGGATGACCCACAGCCATATGCAGCCATAAAATCCCAAACAACGTAAGACATGTTAAAAGTCAAATACAAAACACTTAATGCTCTATGAATCCTCTTTATATAAAATACAAAGCAGGAAAAGCTACTATGCAGTTAGAGGTTCAACCGTCTTTCCTTTATGAGTGGTGATGAAGAGGAACAGCCAATGGGAGCTTCCGGAGGTCCAATGATACTCTATGCGTTGATGTCTGTGCTATGAACAGAAATGTGCCCGGTGTGCATATGTCACTGATATGTGTACTGTATTACTCTAATGTATCTGTATTTGTAAAATTTAAAAGTTCATATAACCAATAAAATCATGAGATTTATTGCATAATACTTTTACGTTGTGAGCATATTTATACATAATGCCTTTGCATTATCAAGAAGGAGTTTAAATATATTGACTAAAAAGACTCTGTGTTTAGTTTTTCATATCATGCTGAAACTTCTAGGTTGATACCTAACAAATACTAGTGTACACTTCCAAAGAAAAGGGGTCAAATATATACTTGTTTTTAAATGTTTTGGCAAGACCTACAGGAATTGAAGTAGGATGTAAGAATAAAGCTAAAAATCAGAATAAAGTAAAAAATAAGAAATGAAGTAGAAAACGGAAAAATAGACTTTATGGAATTTAAAACAAACAACTTAGCATAGCAATATTCATACCAGGTAACATATACTTCATGGTTTGCCTTTAATATGGTTGTCAAAAATGAGGAAACTCTGATTAAGTGTCACTGCAAAGAGGAGCCAGAGGTGACAAGACCACCAAATATAACATTTCATCACAGACAGGATGTGCTCTCTGTTGGCAAGTTAGAGGCCTCAGGTTCAATCGCCCTGTCTCATGTGCTATCACCTCTGTACCAGTGGGGGTGGCTGACATAATCCACCAAATTCAGAGTCCGGTCTGCGAGCGAAAGTTCAGTGGCACCCTAGCGCAGGTTCACAGTGTTCAGTCCTTCCAGCTGTGATGGAAAATCCTTGTTTATTAGGCTTCCCATCACGTAAAAGAAGCCCAGCCCTTCCTGGACTCCGGGAGTGTGGGAGATGGCATAAGTGCCTGTGAGTGAGGACTCTGTCACTGGAGCCTCTGGCAAAGGGGGACAGACTCTAGCTAGAAGCCCCTCGGGTGTATGAATTTGGAGCCACTACAACACAACTACAAGGTGTGATTTTTTAAAAAGTAGTGATTAGCCTGTAAGTGAGCCCTCCTCAGAACTAACCCTTAGAAACCTTGGATGTCTTGCTTGAGATTCCAATTTTATTTACTCACATTTGCATATTCTTTACCTAATGTCCTTTTTCTGTGTCAAGAACCCACCCAGAAACCAAATCTCATTTTCTACTCATGCTTCCTCTGACTCCCCTTTGTTGTGCCATTTTCTCAGATTTTCCTCATTTTTGATCATCTCGACAGACTTGACGAGTACTAGTCAGGTACCTTGCAGAAAGGCCTTCAGTTAGGATTAATGTGATACTTTTCTCATTATCTTGGGCTTCTGTGTTTTGGAGAGGAGAGTTCAGGGTATAATGTCATTCTCAGGACATCATATCAAGGGTACTGCCTACCGACATGACTAATGACTGCTCACATCAGCCTATATCCACTGGATGAGGTTGAGTGTTTGAGGACCCGTTGTGAAACTTATATGTCCCCTTTTCATACTGTACTCATTACAAGGAAGTCATTGTGTGCAGCTGACATTGATGATAGGGATCGTGTGCTCTACCTCCTTAAGGACATAGTTTCTTATGTAAATTATGTGGAATTCTTCTAAGGGTCTTTCTTTTTTCTCAAATTATTATTTATTCAGTGATTTCCTTCTTATCAGTTTAGACTCCTGCACATCTGTCTGACGCTGAGTTTCAACCAATACTGCTTCTTCTGCTCGTTTAAAATCAAGGTGTTCCAGCTTGGCCATGGGAAGCTCTTTCGGGTGACTCCTGTGTCCCTCTGACACAGCCCTCTGACACAACCAGGGTTCTTTAGCACGTCCTGATGTCCAGCAATACGCTCTGCATGCTGATTTTATACACGTCCAGTCCTAGTCCTGGCTGTGCCGTCTCTCCAGGGGCTGCTGTGGGAGAACTGTGCCCTGGACCAAGGTATGGACAGTAGGTGTGCTCACTGCTCCTGGGTGTCACTGTGTTTATGCCCTCTCAGCTCAAACACCAAGAAAATGTATGTGTGAGTGAACCTCTCATATGCACATATGTAGAAACACGTGTGTGGGATCATTTGTGTCCGTACAGAGTTAGCATGACTTCATGCTGATGTCTCCAACTCTAACCCATTCCATGTGGATCGTTCTAACTTCCTGCCCTTGCTCATCTGTCACCTCTCTCTCCAACAGTGACAAATGTGGATCTCATTCTCTACCCTTGTGAATCAAACTCATTTCTACTTCAGTTTCTATAGGATATCAGCCCTCCTGTAATCTGGTTCTTCCAGACAAAACATCTGAGTAAACGATGGGATGCCTGTAAGATAACTGACATGGAACATTCTGAGGTGGTGGAGGAGGAACAACTGGACACTTGGGAAGGGAGCACCTTACACAGAAGGAGATATGGGGGGGGGAGTTTAAGGATCATTGATCTTACAGGACTCCCCTGGACAATGGCATTCAAGGAGGCTGACCAGCAGAGACACCGTCCTGCTAGGACCAGAGGATAACATTTCCAGACAAAGAACATAACCCTCAGGCTTTGAAATCTAAGGGAATTTGCCGTACAGATCTTTTAGTTACTGGGGACAGGTGACCCATCTCTTCTTTCCCTTTTCTCTTTTTGGAATGGAGATTTCTACACTCCCCCCTTCCCATCATTGATTTCTGGAAGCAGAAAGATGTCTGCATTCACAGGTTTATTGCTGGAGCAGGCAGGTTTTTCACAGGTTAAATCCTATCTCAAGTCTTTTTTTTTTTTTTTTTAAGATTATCTATCTATTTTTAGAGAGAACAAGCAAGCAGGAGAGGGACAGAGAGAGAATGAGACAGAGATAATCCCACACTAACAGTTCAGAGCCTGATACAGGGCTCAAACACACTAACCAGGGGATCATGACCTGAGCTGAAACCAAGAGTCTGATGCTTAACTGAGTGAGCCACCCAGATACCCCTCATATTTCACATCTTCATCACACTCGACTTAGATGATATTTAGATGGGATTTGGGACTTAGGCTTGTTTACAAAATTAATGTTCTGGACCTAATGGAATGGGGTGGAGAGGTGAGTGCATTTTGCCAGTG